TCTAAAGCAGTTTTAGTGTAATTTTATTTCTCATATTCTGGGTATAGGAATTGGGTTGAGTAAAGCAGTGAACTTTAGGATAAATGATCCCACCTATATCTAGTAAATTAATATTTTCAGTGAAATATAAATATTTGCCTTTTCTGGAATAGTATAGAAACTGTCCATGGTATGTATCTACTGTACAGTACTAAATAGTATATTTATTCATTTATGAAATACTCGGGTAGTGTTGAGTGGCTGGCATTATGGGGAAAATGAGACTTGGAATTGCAGGTTTTATGCAAGTTTGAGTATAATTTTTTTTAACTTCTAAAAATTGAAATGCCATATAGAAAAGCAGCATTGTTTTTACAGTTTGTAGTAACTTTTTAAAGATTTTATCAAAAGGAATTTTGTCTATAGTGAGTAAGAAGTTCTAGTAATAGTCCTCTATTAATCATTGCATTTTTTTAAACACAAAATTGAACACAAATGACATTTGTTTAAACTTTCGAAAACTTGTGGTAGATAAAGGTTGAACCATATGACACTGCCATTTTTGTAAGTGAAAAAGCTAGTAAAAATATTGGCAGTTTCACATGGTTAAACCTAGTATTAAAACCTATTCCCTCACTTGTAATCTCTGCATACAAATATACTAACTTTCCAAAAGCAGTTAAATTTTTGGCTTTAAAATGTCACTGACTTAAGATGTTAACAGCAAAGGGAATCCACGCTTAGGTTATTTTTCAGTGAACATTTTATGCACAAAGATAGGGTTGCACTGGGACACAAGCCTTTAACACATAATCAGTTAAAATTAAGTGAATACTGCCTCCACACTTGAGTTTTGTTCTGTATTTGGTAGTAAAAATGATTAAAAAATAAAAGTGGTTTTGTTAGAAAAATGTTTGTCCTATTTATTTACCTAAATTCTTCAGTGAATGAGAAGTAGTAGGCTGTATGAGAGTCTGATCATGAATTTTGGCTTCATTTACAGGTGGGAGACCTGTTTCTTACCTTCATTTTCCTATCTAAAATGGGAGTAGTATCTACCATTCTAACTACCATGTGTTTGGGTAGTTAGAAGAAAAAAAAAAAAAACGTAGCCCTGTATGCCCGGCTCAGTAAATGGTACCTGTCATTTGATTATGGAGCTTTTCAAAGCTATACATTAGTTTGGGGAAATGTTTTAGCAGAAGCTCTAAAATTGTGTGCAGATACGGCTTTGAGAAGGTATGTTTTCCTTTTTGTGAAGGTGGGTTTGGGGTAAGCTTCCTGCTAGTGATTATATATTATGTGGAACATAGAAAAAGGTTACGTGCTTGGGGGAAAGAGAATCAAACAGGACTTCCACCAGAACAGTAAAAATTTTCTTTAGCCTTGGTGTTGCATCTTAGAATTGAGTAAGGTTCTGTTGTTATCAGCAGGACACGCCAACTTCTCCTCTAGCAAAACTACCGATTTCTCCAGTTGGGCACCAGATTTATACTTAGGGGGCCATGCTGTTTGAAGATTGGTAGACCTCTTTCAAACTGGAATTGAAATTCTGTTGCTTTTGTCTCAAATCTAAGCTAATGAATCTCATCCCTGTTCTATATAAAATACTTCCCTGTAATCAATTAATTTACTTGTGTTTATTTTAGCTAAATACGGATGTGGTAGAAATGCTACTGGTATTTTCAAGAGCATCCAGAATATGTCTGTTATTAAGGCTTTATTATCAGAAGCAGCTTTCTAAATGAGACTAATCTGGAGCTGTAGATTTTTGAGTCTGCTTTAGTTTAATTTTTGTTGCCATTTTCATTTTATAATGTCAAAAGTCTATGTGCAGGGGCGCCTGGGTGGCTCAGTTGGTTGGGTGACTGCCTTCAGCTTGGGTCACGATCCTGGAGTCCCGCATCAGGCTCCCTGCTCAGCAGGGAGTGCTGCTTCCTCTGACCCTCCCCCCTCTCATGCTCTGTCTATCTCATTCTCTCTCTCAAATAAATGAAATCTTTAAAAAAAAAAAAGGGGGGGGGCGCCTGGGTGGCTCAGTTGGTTAAGCGACTGCCTTCGGCTCAGGTCATGATCCTGGAGTCCCGGGATCGAGTCCCGCATCGGGCTCCCTGCTCGGCAGGGAGTCTGCTTCTCCCTCTGACCCTCCTCCCTCTCATGCTCTCTGTCTCTCATTCTCTCTGTCTCAAATAAATAAAATCTTTAAAAAAAAAAATTTTTTTTAAATTAAAAAAAAAAAAGTATGTGCAATGCATTCATTCTTTAGCAAAATAACTCAAGTGTGAACCATGCTAATTTACCAGTGGGAATATTCGTAAGAATGTACAAAGTGTATAGTAGATGTAACTGGTAATCAAAGAATTCACAGAGAAATGATCTGACAGAACTAAGTCATTTCTAATGTCCTTACAGAAATCAGGGAAGTGACATGTTCCCATTCTTTTCAAAAGTATCACCATGTAAGGGTTTTTTTCCCCCAGTGTACTGTCGCTAAAATGAGTATCATGATGTCTTTTTTTTAAAAAGCTAGTTAGCTAATGTATGATTTGTGCATAGAAATTAAAGGACTAGGGTCATGAATGTTCCAAATGATGTTTAATAATCACATTTCAGTTACCTCAAGATACAATTTTATCGATATACCAAATGTAAAAACTGCCTCTTCATTTACTGCGAAAAAGTTAAAATTTGCTTAAATATCAAGTTTTGGTAGACAAGCATCGTGTAGGTTAAGAATTTCTTAAAAGTGTTCAAAGGAGCAGAATCACTAGAAACAACCTGTATTACAGAGGTTTGACCTTAATTGTGAGGGCTGGATAAGTAGTCTGTTGTCTTTGTATCTGATGCTGGAGATTAAAGCCCACCAGCAGTCTATAAGGGAAGGTGGGTAGATGAAAGAGTAAGAATAAGATGGAACCACAAACAAGAGCCAGAGCCTACATGGATGGACTGAAACTTGAGTCAGGTCTTGTTTTCTTCTGACCTTGGTGGCAGGGGTGTCCTAAGGAAGCCAGGACCCTTCATCGTGAAGGTGAAGGCACACTGGCCCATTAGTCTGAGAAGCTGAGGGAGGATCTAGGGGAAGGCGAGGCAGTTGTAGGCCCTGCTACCGCCTCATCATCCCAAAGGGGCCCGCAAAGAAGCCAGCCACCAGCCACAGTGTGTATAAACTACAAAATTTCTGCTTCCCTTCTGCCCTCCAAAATTCCTACACCACCCACATTCATTATTTCAGACACCTCAGCCAGTCATTGTTGGGCACCCTTGGTGACTAAGAACTCTATGGGAGGTACAGATAATATAAGTGGTGGGTTTATTTTTTTGTTTTTATATTACACAAAGTTTCTACTAGTCATTTTCACCTGCAAAACACAAATTCAGGAATGATTGTCAAGTGCCTTCCTTTAAAACCCTTAGGAGATTTTGCTTTGGTATTTATTAGGTGCTGTGGCAAATGTGAAATTCTAATTCTGTGTACCATAGGTGCCATTGTGGCTGAAAGTACTATTCCAAACTGAGCTATAAACGTTTTAAAAGTTCATCATTGGGTACTATTAAGGATGGTCACATGATCTGAAAAATGTTAATATGTTAATACTTGAGATGGTGGCCAAGGACACCTATTGCCCCAGATTTCTGACATAAAATGCTTTGCAACAAGGGTAGTTTTTTGCTAATTGGTAGTATACAAATGATGGGCTTTTTAGCAAGTTTAATTTTGCGATCTTTAAAAGTGATTTACACTTCCCGTGCAATTATCTCGGGTAAGTTTCACTGTCAGTCATCTTTGAAACATCCTATAGTTTCAAGTATAGCAACTTTGGTAAGGATGCATTTTGTTAATTTTGCAAAACATGGTTAAGGTACCTTTTAAAAGAGTTAACAGTAGAGACATACTGTGCTCCATGCTAATCAATAATTCTCACTCAATTTTAAAGACCAGAATGCTAGTAGCAGGACTTGAAATTCACCTAGTTTTCTACTACAAATTTTTCTCAAATGTTTGCAAATAAAAACAAATGAGCAGCAGAAAGCACTCCTTAACTCAGTATATCCTGAAAATATTTACTCCCCTTTTGTGGACTCGAAACAGGATCTTTGTCTGCCGTAGAATTAGTGAAAACTGGGGAGAAGGCTCACTAAATAATCATTTACCATCATCCCCCCAGGTGTGAATAAACAATTGTACATGAATAACACTAGGAAAACCCATTTTTGTGTCAGTGGGGCTCAACACCAGTCCTAAGCAGGAGAAAGAAATTATAGCCGACGCTTGAACAACATAGATTTGAACTGTGCAGGTCCACTTACATGCAGATTTTTTCAATACACTACAGTACTGTAAATGTATTTTCTCTTAACGAGTCTCTTAACATTTATCTCTATCGTAAGAATATATAATACATATAATGTACAAAATATGTGTTAATCAACTTTATCAGTAAGGCTTCCAGTCAACAGTAGGCTGTTAGTTGAGTTTGGGGGAAATCAAAAGTTACATGGATTCTTGACTGGGGCGGGGTGGGGGGAGGTTGGCACCCCTAGCCCCTACATTGTTCAAGGGTCAGCTGTACATAGTTTTTCAGCTTCTGTCGGCTATCAGCTTCTCTGAAATGTGTTAATTTCCAGACCATCATATGTACCTGTACTCAATCACAGCATCTGCTTTCTGCTCCCCTTTTATGAAATTTGACAATTCGCTGTTACGAATGACTACAGACAGAGGCAAATTGTCTGTAGGGAAGAATTTTCTTGAAGATAAGAATCTTATCTTCTACTGATACTGTACTAGTGGCAGGAATATTGAGCACTTCTGAAGGGCCACTGAAGGTGACCATTTTACAGTCTCCCAAGTTTGCACAGTTTCTTCAATCACAAGTGGAAGGTATATAGAATTTTACGGGCTTACACAAAATCTAAATTTTCATGAGATTATCAAGATATATGGTGTTTTGATCTACTTATGTGAAACAGCATACACAGAGCTTCATTCATCGACTGGATTAAAAGGCACATTTTGAAAAGTCTAATATTGTGAAAAGTTTATTTGCATTAATTAACTCCTTGTTTTCACCATCATAAGAGATACATTTGCTTGTCCTTTGTGATCAGATAAAAGACATTTTGGAATGGATAATCTACTATTCTTTACGAAAGAAAAAGATAAGAGTTAAAAACAATCCCAAGTGCAAAAGTTTTCAGTAGTCTTCCTACCTCCAGTGTACCCCAGCAAAATATTCACAGCTTTTAGGAAACTGACAAATCTCAAGCTGCAATTTACCATGTTTCTTCTCCACGAAGTTGTCTGTACGTGTGAAAAAATACTCCTGGGAAGTATACCATATTCCCACAAAAGTAAGGGAGCCTACGAGCAACAGTGATCACCACCGTTCAGCGTCTCACACCTCAAATAATCAGCGACAGGATAATTCAATCTCCAAGTCACGTGATCAACAAGCATTCCCAAAATAATAGGGATCAACTTCTATTCAATAAACCTAATCTGGGTTTACCAACTCTTCCACAAAATTCAACAGACCCACATACGGTAGTAATTGGTCTTTGAATTTTTAACTATGATTACTTCATTATAAAATGTATTTAATAAAATGCCAACATATGCAATGTAGTATGTTTCAGCATGGAAGATGCAGCTTTAAAGATGTTTATTATAAAATTTTCTTATGGTTGATGCTTTGGATTTTTAAATAAATCATCTCTTCAATAAAAGTCTCTAAATTCAAATTATTTAAAATTCTGGAAAAAGTTTAAACTATTGGTCACTCTACAAAATTTGACAGATGCATTTTGACACATTTATCAGGATACATTTAAAAAAAACAGTTCTTTAGCTAAGCTCTTTAATACAACATAACATTTTGTGACTGTTACACATTATTCTCCCTAATTTATTTTCAGTCTTGGACCTTCAAACCATCTTGGAATAAATATGAAAAACTTCAAATGCAAAAATGAGTAATGCATGATTTCACTTTGGAGATTAAAATCAATAAATATTTTCTTGTGACTTAAAAAAATAAACAGTAGGAACTGTCAACCCTGTGTACATTTCTGGAATTTAGCTTGTAACAAATATATTCTGTTAGCATATAAAATGTTTTTACCTTACTTTGAAGCATTAAATATGTAGGGATGTCCAAAATATGTGGGTTGTTTTTTTAAAACTGACATGAATGCATCCATATTCCATTAAAAACAAAATAATCAGAATGATGTGCACTTACTAGGAAGCAAGTTTAAAAATTTGGAGTTTTTTTAAAGTGCTGAGATTTGGAAGAGGAATATCTTTAAGCATGCTAACCATACCTTATCATGAACACAAAAAGGACTTTTAAACTCAAGTTTAGAAAAAAAAAAAAATAGAGGTTCTATGAAAGGAAGATTAGTAACAAACATTTTCCATTGAAGAAAGAATTCAGGTAAAAACAAATAGCACCACAATGAATTGCACTAAGGTGCTAAAGGAGGTACCTTATTCCCTGCAGAGTGAACGCTCCTTCTGAAATGTATTGCAACATATAAATGCAATTGTTTAATGGTTACCATTTGGTTCATTCATCTACAGAAAACTGCATTCCTTCTAGTTCATTATATTGAACAAACATTCAAATTACTGAACTATACATAATGTTACATAGTTTACATTTTATGAAAACAAAGCTTGAAGGAATATTTATAAATGTCACCTTGAATATAAGATGACAAGTTTAAAAGGGCTTCATATCTCTTAAGACATTTAATTTATGTTAATGGTCCAGGAGTGTTTTAGATATAGATATAGATATATTTATATGCATATATATTTCAACAAGAAGTGTAAAAATTTTTAAAAACAAATCACAGCACTTATAGCTGTTTTACCTAAGAAGTACTCAGGGTCATTAAGGTGTCAAACTATTACACTTATAATATGTATATTTTTAAAAAGACTGAAAATGGCACATCAGGAAACTTGCTGAAATTCTTTTTAAAGGCCCATTTCATTATATCATATTACTGATGTGTCGATTCAATGTAATTCCCTTTTCTTCTCAGAACATTTGTCCCTTCTATTTGGATTCACTACTGGGGTCTCTGTATTCTCTTGCTTTCCTTGGTTAGATGAGATCATTTTCCATGTCAGTTAAAGATCAGGAAAACGGCTCGGGTCTTCCTTATAGTCATCAGGTATAGTAAAGATGGAGCCATCAAATTCATCATATCGAAACTCCTGAAAAGTCACAGTGGCTGTGATCGTAGGAAACACGGGAATATCTAGAGAGAACAATCAATGATAACATTGTAAAATAAAATGCTTATCTATTTACAGACTATAAATACTATTAGAGATAGCCATATTCCTTAAAATATAAAAAAGCATTATTCAAGGACCTGACAAATCCTAATATATGTCCAATAGTGAGTGTGTCTATTTTGGAGAAGGGTTTTTTATTGGTGAAGAGAGAAAGACACCAAGGCATCAAGAATCACATCAAAAAGACAAGTTCCCATTGCTTCCCAATCTCAAAATTATAATGCCAGATCCCACCAGTCTTTTTTGTTTTTCTTAGGCCAAAGAGACACATACATTTGTACTTTTTGCATTCTGACATCTTTTCTATTCATATTATAGCATATGTACTATTCTGACTCTGAGCTGATTTATTTCCATTCTAAAGCAAGAGAAATACATTAATCTCTTTTGTTTTAAAATACTAAATACAATCCATCACTTAAATATATGCGATAAAAAGTCTCATCAGAATTGGAGTAATATCATGCCAACACAGCCTAACATTTTTTTACATAAAATACATTTCTCACTGAAATTATAGTGAAATCTGACATTAAAAATGGCCAAATACTTTAATCACTCTCCTTAGTTTTATCCCTAATAAGAGTTTTTAGAAAGAGCACAAATCAGAAAACTTGGTTTCTGATTCCTATAAAACATTTAATTCATTGTCCTCAGGGATTTCACCTACAAAATAAACAACTGTAAAGCTTCCTTTAAAACCCTGAAATGATTCTATGAAAGCTAAGGTGAGCGTTTGTCTAGAATAACGGTAAAGAGTAAATTACTTTTTACATGGCTAGTATTTTACTGCAGAAAGTAATATTCTTCTGAAAAAACAAAACAAAACAACACACACAAAAATCTACATAAAGATTAGAGTTCCCAGTTATTTCTGGGGGGGGGAATCATCCATTTGTGTATATTAGTAACAAACGCTGTTCTAATTCAGGGGTCAGCAAAGTAAGGCCCATTGCCTGGCCTGTTTTTGTAAGGTCTATGAGCTAACAAAAGATCTTACGTTTTTTAACGGCTAAAAAAACACACACAAAAAATAGTATTTCATGCGGATAAAATTACGTGAAATTCAAACTCCAGTGTCCCTAAGTAAAATTTATTGGAACACAGGATGCTGTTCATTTACTTATTGTCTATGGCTGCTTTAAGTTTTCCAACAAGAATTAAGTAGTTGTGACAGAAACCATATGGCTGGGGCGCCTGGGTGGCTCAGTCGTTAAGCGTCTGCCTTCGGCT